AAGTAATATAAATAAAAAATATAAAATACTTAAGAATTATGTAATTTTATTAGCGTATAATTATCAATTAATCCATCAGTGTGTTTAATCCTTAACGTCGATTGAAATGTATAAATTATAAAGTCGGAAAATCCGAATATAATGAACAGGTTTATAAGCAAAAATTTTAAACGTAATTTATTTAAACAGTTGAAGGTCGTAAAGTTGTTTGTTGCTATTCAACAAGGAACTATATAATACAATATTGGCGATAAAATAAATTGCAAATTATACCATAATAATTGCTGCATGTTCATTTTATTATAGGTATTGTACGGATAATCACTCAGAAGAAAAACATATTGGAGAACATTAGTATTATGAATGTATAAAGTTATTCCATACCTCTGAACGCAGTCAGTCGTGATTAGAACATCATCTTTTCATATTAATTTTAAGGTTCAATAAAATCTTATCTAATACATGATATGATATCATTGTCTTAATCTTTGTTGCAGATAATCCTTACAGCAATCCTTGGGTAGAAGTTGATAGGACAGATTTGGAGTTTTCATCAATGGTGCTTGTAATAACACTGTAAGTTATAATCTTTGCATAGTTCTTGCTTCTGTTATTGATATTAATTAGCAGATTGATAGGTATTTATTAAAAGGACTTTTTTATTAAGAACCACTACCTTAATTAGAGTTTAAGGCATCAATTATCAATTAGACAGCGTTTAGTGCATTGTTTACTACAAATTCAACTTCACTGTTCCTTATTATGAGCTATTATTATTTTAAATCAAGAAATTTGTGTCTTTTTAGAAAGACGATCACCTTGAAAGCTGTTTCAGCGCCATTCGATTATATATAAAAGCGTAATATACCATGCTAACGTACTAATGTATATCTTTGTTTAATTTTATGACCAGTAGATAAAAGAAAACATAAATTTTGTAAACAGCGAGTACGTCATTTATTTGAATTGATAACAGTCGTCGTTCTGTCTCACGTGTGGGTACATTCAAAGTAGTAGAAAATAAAATTGTGACCCACTCTTCAGTTCGAATTATCAAAGCGAGATTAGTGATAATTACTGGGGAGTCTCTATTTTATTAGTTTAATACTTTCTTATCAATTTATCTCATCATATCTTTGAATAATTCTGATATGTTGGTGATGACAGTCTGAATAATTTTATACCTTTTGGGTTCGAAAAATCGTACGTTTTGGATTCGGAAAATCGTTGTTTTCTTTAGTAGCAGCAAATAGATACAAAATACATTGATTGAACGTGGTGAAATCGCATTTGATAATTAGTTTAGAAAGTGACATGATAGAAATTACTGCAGTGTGTTATTTGAATGTTGCCATATGACATGCTTAAAATAGGCCATCAAAAAAGGTGTCACAAATGTATTTATGTTTAAAACAGCTGTATTATAAGAAATGGAATGTTTTTATTTTTGTTTGATTGTTATTTACAAGTTGTAATTGATTGAAATCAGTAAATAGAAGGCAATACAATATTGCGTTTTGCAATTTAATTATCTTGAGTAATCTCATTTTCTTATTCAACTTGTACACTGGTAATCAATAAATTGTTTTCTTATTAAATATAATTAAAAATCTTGTTGAAGTAATTTGATGGTTAAATATTGCATTGAAGTCTAATATTTAATTGCCTGACGTTTCGTCAGCGACTTCGGCTGACATCTTCACGGGTTTATATACTCGAGCCCGTAAAGTACTTTCCTATCTCGTAGTGCCTTCTTGTCTTCTATGAGGCCAGATAGAAAACTACCGATAATTTTGCAAACTACATTTTGAGAACATCTCATTTAATTGTTAATCGTAATCTGATTAATTGCAAAATTACATACCTACATCTATATTAAATGCTTGCCCTTCTGTTTGCCCTTTGGTAAAACATTTTACATAAAAAGCGGCGCAAATATGGTGTGTAATATTCGTTTGTTGCCTAATAAATGCTTTCATTTTTTCAAACATGTAAAGTTACCAAATGCGGCTGTATTAGGAAACGCCCTGCTGCACCTACACCTCGCCATTTACAAATACAAAACGGAACACCAAGCTCAGGTAATAAATAGTACAATCAAATCAATTAAAAAATAAATAGTAATAAAATGCCTGCAAGTACGATAAATTGATAAAGAAACTTCTTGTAGAGTTACTACGGTGCTTTGAAAGATCTTACATGTCACAGGCTGAACTAGTTTTGCTTCAAGCGAACCCAGAAGACCCAATAATCAGTTACGAACTAGCAAATCTTTTATTTGACTGAAATACCACATAATTTGACATAGTACGTAATTACTACCTTATTTAATGTATTTAAATAGATACATATTCTGTTGGTATATAAAAAAAAATAAATTCTATGAATTAGAATGTACTTATCATATTTAAGCACAAATCGTGACTGTATAATCTCAAGGTTCTTTACTAGCAAATATCATCAGGTAAAAGAATATTACGTTTAAAATACTGCACGATATGGATGGTAAATGTTACAGTTATTAGTTATTAACAAACATTGCACCAGTTTCTTTTTATTTCGCAAGGTACAGGCCTGACGCTGTAAGCTGGCGGAAATTTTAAAATGGCGTGGACGCGCCGTGGCAAAAGTAGGCAGTTTTAGGTATAATGATTGCAGCCCTCATTCTTCAGTATTTCTATCAGGGGCGTAGATTAAATCTTTAAAATAGGGATCAGTGAGCAAGTAATAGACAGACAAACAGAAGAACTAATTGTTGATGTTGGTGACAGTAATAGAAATTCCCATGATGAGAGTGAATGTAAAAAGTAACTATAAAACAAAAGCAATAGTTTAATTTTTTCTTTTTGATAAGTCATTATTTTCTAGTACGCTACTGTCCTATCTGTATTAATACTATAATTTACGCCTACTTAAAGCTTATTTGTGTATCGGTTCCAAGTGACTTACCCAAATAGGTCATAAATGGGCAAGTACCTGCGCGACCGCTCGCCAGCTTCCTTCGTCAGACCTGTACA